ATAAAACGTGAAACTACTATGTCCTACCTAGCCCCTTTGAGTGTCTCTTTGCCCCTCCCAGGCCTAATGAGGGCCTCTATGTCCTGTGTGTTTCTTTGTACCCCAAACCCATCTGTGTGTCTCTTTGTCCCCCTAGCCCTCTGTGAGTCTTTTATCACCCAGCACAATAGTGCCCCCGCATCCCTTTGCACCCCACCTATTTACCTTAATGTAGCATGGCCGAGCAGACCACGGTGGAGGATCTTCTCAGTCTGACAGAAAGCTGCTCATTGCTCTCATTGAGCACTTTCTATCAGATTGGGTAAAGGATGCAGAAGATCCTCTACCACAGTTCCCTTGGCCACGCTATATGCAGTGAGTGGCAGGAGGGAAGCACACTGTTCAACTATTGCCTAGCGATAGTGCCAGCCCTGGTGACAATTCATATATGTCTTTAGTAGAATTTCATATCCTTATCTCAGATGTGTAAAAAAAATCCAATCTCTGCACAGTGTTAAAATTTATGCATTTTCCGCATTTGTACATACCCCTTGGGTGTTAGCAAATCTTATCCCTCTGCAGAAGGGGTGTGTACCATTGCATGCACCAAGTTTTCTTTCTAATTCTCAGACCTCTTACATGCCATCAGGGTGGATCCTTGAAAATTCCACTCAGCGTTAAATCTGAGCTCAAAATGTGCCAGTATTTACAGATGATACGGCCAGCTTGTGGTAATAATGTAATACTTTATATCTTTCAAGTGCATGTTTGTAATGGCCTAATAATGTATATTTTGTTGCTCATATGTACTACTAATGAATTAATTTAATGTTGATTAAGTGTGTTTGTATAGCATTTTTTCACTAATAATGAACTATTTCGATTGAAGAGGAGTGCTATGGTGCTTATTTATAGATTCTAGTATGTACACCCTGTTCCAAATTATTATGCAAATTCTATTTAAGTGTCACAAAGATTAAATATTTTGTTTTTCAGTTTAACTCATGGATGGCATTGTGTCTCAGGGCTCTTTTGATCACTGAAAACAATCTGGGACACCTGTGATAATTAGATTGCCAGGTGAGCCCAATTTAAGGAAAAACTACTAAAGGAGGGAGTTCCACATTATTAAGCAGAGCACCATTTTCATGCAATATGGGGAAGAAAAAGCATCTCTCTGCTGCCGAAAAGAGTGAAATAGTTGCCTTGGGCAAGGTATGAAAACATTAGATATTTCACGAAAACTTAAGCGTGATCATCGCACTATTAAGAAATTTGTGGCTGATTCAGAGCACAGATGGGCTTGTGCAGATAAAGGCACATTGAGGAAGATTTCTGCCAGATCCATGCATCGGATCAAGAGAGCAGCTGCTAAAATACCACTACATAGCAGCAAACAGATATTTGAAACTGCTGGTGCCTCTGGAGTCCCACGGACATCAAGGTGTAGAGTCCTCCAGAGTCTTGCAACTGTGCATAAACCTTCTATTCGGCCACCACTAACCAATGCTCACAAGCAGAAACGGCTGCATTGGGCAGAAAAATACATGAAGACTAATTTTCAAACAGTCCTGTTCACTGATGAGTGCCGTGCAACCCTGGATGGTCCAGATGGATGGAGAAGTGGATGGTTGGTGGACGGCCACCCTGTTCCAACAAGTCTGCGACGTCAGCAAGGCGGTGGTGGAGTCATGTTTTGGGCCGGAATCATGGGAAGAGAGCTGGTCGGCCCCTTTAGGGTCCCCGAAGGTGTAAAGATGACCTCTGCAAAGTATGTGGAGTTTCTGACTGACCACTTTCTTCACTGGTACAGAAGGAAGAACTATGCTTTCTGTAATAAAATCATCTTCATGCATGACAATGCACCATCTCATGCTGCAAAAAATACCTCTGCATCAATGGCTGCTTTGGAGATAAAAAGAGAGAAAGTCATGGTGTGGCCTTCATCCTCCCCTGACCTCAATCGTATTGAGAACCTTTGGAGAATCCTCAAGCAAAAGATCTATGAGGGTGGGAGGCAGTTTACATCCAAACAGCAGCTCTGGGAGGCTATTCTGACATCTTACCTCTGAGGATTAAGAGAGTGAAGGGCGACCTGCCTCTCCTCTAAAAATTCCACCAGGTATACCCACAGTGGTAAAGATAACTCATGGGGCACATAGGATAGAGTAAGAGTTGAACTGTAAACATATCTTTATTAAATTTTATTCAATAATATCTTTAAGAGCACAGAAATATGGTGAGGTAAGTGAAAAAAATAAAAGTGAACCACACAGTGCTAGTGAATTTAAAAAGGAAAGGTTCGATGCAACCCAAATAGTCACTTGTATGTATGTATGTATGTATAATATATATATATATATATATATATATATATATATGTGTGTGTATATATATATATATATATATATATATATGTATGTATGTATGCAGTGGTGTATCTTGGTTTTGTGCTGCCCTAGGCAGGACAAAACTCAGGCACCTCCCCTCCCCCCGCGCCACCCCCACCCAACCCTTCCCCCCGCCCCACCTTCTAAATACACACACACACACACACACACACAGTCAGACACACACACATACACAGTCAGAGACACACACACACTCACAAACACAGTCAGACACAAAACACAGACACAAACAACACCAACAACAGCCCAGAGACACACAGACAAACACAACACACAGTCAGACACACACACACACACACACCACAAACACAGCCCAGACACACACACACACAGACACAAACACACCCACACAGTCAGACACACACACAACACAACCACACACACAACACACACACAGTCAGACAAACACACACCACACCCACATACACACAGTCAGACACACACACACACACACAAACACACACCACAGTCACAAACACACACATTAACTTTTTTTTAAATTAAATCCCCCCAACCTCCTTACCTTTGGGAGTGCTGGGGGGGGGGGGTCTCTCTCCCTGGTGGTCCGGTGGCTGCAGGTGGGCGGCTGGCGAGGGAGCACTTCCTATGAGCTGACTGCTCAGCTCCCTCGCGCGCCGGCTGCAGAGTGAGGCTGGGAGCCGGAAGATGACGTCATCTTCCGGCTCCCAGCCTCACTCTGCGGCGCGCGAGGGAGCTGAGCAGTCAGCTCATAGGAAGTGCTCCCTCGCCGGCCGCCCGCCTGCCAGCGCCGCCCGCCCGCTCGCGATGTCAGTTAGCCGCAAGGCTAACTAGGCATTTGCCCTGGGCATTTGGGGGGGCGGCGATTTTTGCCGCCCCCTGAAAAATGCCGCCCAAGGCAAATGCCTTGTTTGCCTCGCGGCTAATACGCCCCTGTATGTATGTGTATATACATAACTGACTATAAATCGCTGCTAATAAATTGGCCTTTGCGATCAAATGCAGCAGTCAAGTAACATCTACTTGGGGGATTAAGGTCAAAAGTAAATAATTGGCAATGTATTGCAGTTTGTTTAGATAGTATAAACTTCTAAGTATAACAGAAACTCAGGATGCTATAACCTGTATATATTCCAACTAGTAATAGGTAAATGAGACTGTATTCACATAATCTCTCCTTTTCCTAGTGATATTAGTACTTGTACAAGGTTTAAGCTAAATATAACATAAATAACATAAATGAAAAAATATACTAATACGCTAAACCTGCTTGCTGCTTGTTAGTGACAGGTAGTGCTATTCAGAGGGCAGGTTTACTAGGGTAAACTGTAGCTAAACATACATATGAGGACGAAATACAGCCATACATAATGAGATAATGGTAAGTATATTCCTCAGTGTTAATGCATACAGTAACCCAATGTGTAACCTTAAGAAACCTCAGCATATAATAGACACACCTTCAAAGCATATTACGTTTAGAGTTCCAATTAAGAGATTTATGGAGAGATAAATAAAAAGACAAGCTGAGAATATTACATTGCCTTTGCTAGTATCAGACCGAAATAAATATAACTCCCCTCCTCAGGTCAAATCCCATTAAAAAGGGCATTAAAATTCCCTAGATAAGTGTGGAAAATAAGTATATCAATCACGTACCTGTTTAGGTGGGCTGGTTGTTATATCTATTTGTATCTACTTTAACACTTGTATAGACAGGTTGGTCGTTATATTTCCCTGCAAATACATAAAAGCAGCTTGATTGTATGTGCCAAAGGTTTTTCTAGCATCTATTTAGGCAGTTCACCTTTTTTGGCAGTTATGCCTTTAGTATTTACTTAGACAGACTGATTGGGTCTGATTGATATACTTATTTTCCACACTTATTTAGGGAATTTTAATGCCCTTTTTAATGGGATTTTACCTCAGGAGGGGAGTTATATTTATTTAGGTCTGACACTAGCAAAGGCAATGTAATATTCTCAGCTTGCCTTTTTTTTTGTTGTCAATCTGTATTTTATTGAGGCACAATAGATGGGATACAGACTAGAGAGAGGGAAATGTGCATTCAGATTACAGTATAGGGTGCAATAACAATGGTAGCTATCATTTCCATAACATTTGTGTCTCTTTTTTATTTTTTATGATTTAACAATGCTTTTCGTAAACAGTTTTAGGCAATATGCAATATAAGTCGCTTAACAGAAACTTGTTGTAACAGGTTAAGTGAGGAAGCTGTATGGCTTGTGCGACCCTTCCAGTATATATGATTATGTAGGGGCTCGCCGTTTATGCATTACAGGCCAAGGCTGGTATGTGAAGACCGAACCGAATCAAATCAAGCAGGCCTACCAGTATTATGTCTAGTGCTAGTAATGGTTGTATGGCAAAAATGCAGTAAATTCTTTACGGTTTAAGCATTCTGGCGATAAGCTTTCAGTCTCATGGTGTTACTGCTTGTATAATCTGCACTATAGTGTCTGACGCACGGTATGTTATGTTATAAGGTCGCATTTATACAGAGCGGCGTGTGGATACGCTGTGACTCCAGGTTACCAGATAAGCTTGCACAAACAAAATTATAAACATATATCTATAAACATCAGAGGTATTTCAGTATGACTCGTTACACTAGGAAACATGGTACTTGCGGTGCAGGATATTAGGCATGCATAGTGTTTAGGTCAGTGTCCACTGGTTTGTCCAGTCGCTCAATGAGTCCCGCGGCCTCTTTGTTATGGCATGTAGGGGCTAGCATTAAGACATTGTCCCATTGTGGTGAGTTCACTCCTTCACCCAACGCCCTTTTTGTTTAAGCGGTGTGTGTGTCCGGATTTCTGCTTCCGGCTGCTGTGCGGGTGTCCGTGGGGGTGTCCCTCCAGCTCCAAGCTGGCTTAGTGGCCAGCATTTTCTTGCCACAAACTCGGCTGCCGCTTTGGTCCGGGTTTCCTCCACGTGTGGGAGTGATGGGGGAGCTGGTCTTTTCCTGTCGCTTGCGTGGCTTGTTCCCCCGCCAGTGTGGTCGATGCTTGTGGGCTTTCTGCCCTTTGGCCTGCCGCCCGGGTGGGCTAGGTTGCGTGTGGGTGAGTAGTTGAGGCGACGTTGTGCCCGAGGGTATTCCCTCAACTTCCCTCCATCCGCGGGTCCGCTCTCGCAGCGTCGGTGGTGCAGGTGTCATGGTTCGGGCTACTTGTTGCCGCTTCATGAGTGTGTCCCAGAAGTGGTTCAGTATCGCCTCTAGACTCTGTAGGGGTGCTTTCCATGGCGTTTGTGTCGATTGCATGTTCGCCATGTCTGTCGCGTTGCCGACCGCCATTTTAAGTGCTCTCTGTAAGGGTCTGCAGCCTTGCAGTTCAGGGTCAGGCTTGTACTGTTTGCTATATCAGTCGAGTGAGGACCGGGATGACCCCCACCGGTCCAGGGGGGGGGGGAAGGAGGCGAGTGTGCAGAGGGGTCCATACTCGGCTTTACCATCCAGGAGAGCGGCCGCCCCTCCCTGGCTCGGTCGCATGTAGGCCCCATGTGCTTTGGTGGGGTTCCCGGGCAGTGTAAATCTTTCTTGTGGGTTCATTCGATGCCTCTTGGGTCCCCTTACTCGTTGTGTGCCCTCCGGCTTAGAATCGTGTCTGTTTTCGGGGTATTTATTCCCAATTTTGGTGCTTTGTGCAGGAGCTGATTCACAGCATGTCTGGCCTGCTTGGCAGTTAGGCTCCACCCGTCAGCTTGTCTTTTTATTTATCTCTCCATGAATCTCTTAATTGGAACTCTAAACGTAATATGCTTTGAAGGTGTGTCTATTATATGCTGAGGTTTCTTAAGGTTACACATTGGGTTACTGTATGCATTAACACTGAGGAATATACTTACCATTATCTCATTATGTATGGCTGTATTTCGTCCTCATATGTATGTTTAGCTACAGTTTACCCTAGTAAACCTGCCCTCTGAATAGCATTACCTGTCACTAACAAGCAGCAAGCAGGTTTAGCGTATTAGTATATTTTTTCATTTATGTTATATTTAGCTTAAACCTTATACAAGTACTAATATCACTAGGAAAAGGAGAGATTATGTGAATACAGTCTCATTTACCTATTACTAGTTGGAATATATACAGGTTATAGCATCCTGAGTTTCTGTTATACTTAGAAGTTTATACTATCTAAACAAACTGCAATACATTGCCAATTATTTACTCTTGACCTTAATCCCCCAAGTAGATGTTACTTGACTGCTGCATTTGATCGCATGGGCCAATTTATTAGCAGCGATTTATAGTCAGTTATGTATATACACATACATACATACAAGTCACAATTTGGGTTGCATCGAACCTTTCCTTTTTAAATTCACTAGTACTGTGTGGTTCACTTTAATTTTTTTCACTTATCTCACCATATTTCTGTGCTCTTTTATTCTTTTATTGAATAAAATTTAATAAAGATATGTTTACGGTTCAACTCTTACTCTATCTTTACCACTGTGGGTATACCTGGGGAATTTTTAGAGGAGAGGCAGGTCGCCCTTCACTCTCTTAACCCCTTAAGGACACATGACATGTGTGACATGTCATGATTCCCTTTTATTCCAGAAGTTTGGTCCTTAAGGGGTTAAAGGACCACTATAGGCACCCAGACCACTTCAACTTAATGAGGTGGTCTGGGTGCCTGGTTCAGCTAGGGTTAACCCTTTTTTCTATAAACATAGCAGTTTCAGAGAAACTGCTATGTTTATATTAGGGTTAATCCAGCCTCTAGTGGCTGTCTCATTGACAGCAGCTAGAGGGCTTCCGCGCTTCTCACTGTGAAAATCACAGTGAGAAGACACCAGCGTCCATAGGAAAGCATTGTGAATGCTTTCCTATGGACTGGTTGAATGCGCGCGCAGCTCCTGCCGCGCATGCGCATTCAGCCGAAGAGGAGGAGAGGAGGCAGAGAGGAGGAGGAGAGTTCCCTGCCAGGCGCTGTAGAAAGAGGTAAGTTTAACCCCTTCCTGCCCCCAGAGCCCGGCGGGAGGGGGACCCTCAGGGCACTATAGTGCCAGGAAAACGAGTATGTTTTCCCTGCACTATAGTGGTCCTTTAATCCTCAGAGGCAATTTTTCTCATATTTAAACAATTCAGAGTTTATGACCTTTTATACTCACATAAGTCCTTTCGCTTGTTGACTTTAGGGTCAAACTTTGACTCCTAAGGCTTCATTCTTGCTTTTCTCTATTCTGACATCTTGCAAACAAATTCAAGCAGAAACTGTCCAAAAACTCACAAGTTAAATAGATGCAAGACTTTTGAAGCTGCCATCAAAAAAGGGGTCCTATGTTAAAATGTAACGTGACCTGTTAAAATGTTTAAAAAGTTAAAAAGTTGTTAAAAGTTTGATTGAAATAGCTTTTAATTTCAGTAAATATGCTGCAAACACAACAAATGACAATTTGCAGTTCTTTACAACCTATAAAGTGTTTTTAAACTTACTGTGCATAATAATTTGGAACAGTGCATTGTTTTTTCAAGTTTTTTATGTTTAAAACAAATACTGTTATCATTAGGAAGTTTGTTCAATAAAATTTGAATTGTACTCTTAATAGTTGATAACATGAGAATTATGCTGACTGTTATTTACATCAATTATTTAGGTAAATGAGAAAAATATAATTTTATATAGTTAGGTAATGGATATTCACCATTTAGCAACCTGCATTTACTATGATATGTTATGCTTGTGACTTTTATTATTAGTGAGCACTTCTGCGATTATTTTTTAATTCAGCATAAAGAAAGCAATTCTAAACATAGCAATACAAAAATCACAAGCGCATTCAGCTCATCATCCTCCACATTGTTAGGATTCTGGATAACTGACTTATGTTGATTTATGTGTTTTTTACTTGCCTATTGTACTACTAACATACAACTGAGAACAGACATTGTGGGATATACACTACACAAGCAGTCTAGCAAATGATAAATGATGAATATGAGTTTAATCATGCAGACAAAACATCTAAATGTCTGCACCGATATATATAACTAAATGTTTGCTTTTACTATGTTAATAATAAAGATCACAGCCTTTCTCTAAATATTATTTGTTAATTTTGATCTTATTTAACAGTTTGCATTCGAAAACACATGTAGAAATAAATAGTGTCCACATATAGCAAATACAAGTAGAGCAAGTAGAAATGACTGACTAAAACCAGCAAAGAACTGTATAGGGTATTGAAGGATACTATTGCAGACTGCACATAAGACCCACAGTGTACACAGTATATTTTAGCTTGTTAAATGCTTGTGAAACAATATGGCAGTATAAATGCATAGCTCTGTTACCCCAGCCTATTACATGTTGTCTGTAAATCTAACCATAGCTTCACGTTTGGCCGTTTGGCCTAAAATTTGAAATTCACTTTGAATTGTCACTAACAGGGTTAATCACTAATGTGAAAATTCAAAGTGGATTTAAAAGTGAATTTCAAACTTAAGGCCAAGATGTAGCCAAGATTAAAGCTTAGAATATTTTTCTAGTTTACCAATGTTGACCTTAAATTTGAAATTCACATTGAATTCTCACTTTAGTAAATATCTGTGTGTTTGAATAACCCTGCCATTATCAAGATGAGAGAGAGTGCAGCTATGTCACCCTTTAGGAAAGAAACATAGAAACATAGAATGTGACGGCAGATAAGAACCATTTGGCCCATATTCATTAGTCCCTGGCCTTATCTTATAGTTAGGATAGCCTTATGCCTATCCCACGCATGCTTAAACTCCTTCACTGTGTTAACCTCTACCACTTCAGCTGGAAGGCTGTTCCATGCATCCACTACCCTCTCAGTAAAGTAATACTTCCTGATATTATTTTTAAACGTTTGCCCCTCTAATTTAAGATTATGTCTTCTTGTTGTGGTAGTTTATCTTCTTTTAAATATATAGTCTCCTCCTTTACTGTGTTGATTCCCTTTCTGTATTTAAATGTTTCTATCATATCCCCCCGTCTCGTCTTTCCTCCAAGCTATACATGTTAAGTTCCTTTAACCTTATTGAAACATAATTTTAATGCTTCTCTATGAGGAGAATTCCATTGGCGAATCCAATTACAGCACATGCACAGTGGGGCTCTCAATACTTCTCTAAGGAGAAACATATGATTGGCCATCAGCTGTGAACACATAAGAAGGGGAAGCAGTGATCTTGGCAAAATAGGGACAGCGCAGGGTGAGAGACAAATATTACTTCATTTTTCTACTTTGTAAAGAGGAGCCCAGAATCTAAATGTATAATTTCACGTTTAAGCAGTGCTATCCTGCTTTTATTTTGTGGGCAAACAAAGATGACTACTTGCATATAAATTCAATGTATTTACCTAAAAATTAGAATTGGCCCTAATAACCTATAGAAATCATGCATTCTACATCAGAAGTTGATGTTTTCCTAATTGCTATTTAGTTCAGGGGTCCATCTCCTATCATTTCCTTTTCTTTTTTATTAACCTTTACATAGGGAAATTAAAACATTCATCCATCAGTGCAGCCCTGCACTATGCATTTTGCACCATATACACTGACCAAGCTAAAATCCGCGGTGATATCTCACTTTGTGTGTTAGCACTGGTTGCATTCTGCAATTCTCGATTACATTGTAATGTGTGGTCATTGTGGTCGTCTCTGCACTGCTGTCCCCAGTCATTTCAATTGTGCGGGCTACGGCTTTGACGTCACAGCTGCTCTCCAGGTTCATTATGTATAGGAGTAGGAGGGGCAGTGAGGGTGGGCACTGTTCAGACCTGCCGTGTCAGACTCGCCTCTTCAATTAACAATAATTTCTCTCATTCGAGTAAGGAGGACAGAGGACTTTACATGTCATCACTAAGACGGTAATGTGGGTAGTAGTGTATGGGGGAGAGGGTTAGGGATCTTGTGAATTGGTGGAGTCATACACTAACTATTAGGAAATCTTAGTTAACATATACTGATTTTTATTATAATATGCAGTAAAGTCCTTGAGTTTCCTTCATGTTTTGCAACATATATTTTATTATAACTTGGAGTTAGAGACATTTAGAAAACGACTCCCATGTACACAGCATGTTTTATTAAATACTGCAATTGACATGGTTCTATTATTATTGTTACTTGTTTTCATAATAGGCATTTTGTATTCGTGTACAAAGGTCCTTTGGTGTCAGTATGCTAACTTGAGGACAAGTATCGGTATTTCATTAATCAAGACGTTTTGAATAAGTACAAAGATAAATATCACAGACATACTAAGTGAGCCATATCCTACAAAAGATACTTTGTATCACGTATAAACTGTTCAAGTAGAATGTATGTATGTTTAGAAAGGAGAAAAAAAGTGACATATGCATGTACAAAACCTGTATATATACACACACATTTTTCAGATGTGAATGGTTTACCTGATCTACTGACTGACACATACATGACATCTACATGAGAGCGTGAGTGTGGCGTATATGTAGCTTGATACATCCACTGTGAACATAATGTGAACTTTTAATCAGCATGATGCTCAGCTAGCTTAAAGCTTAAAGCTAGCTGAGCATCATGGGAAATGTAGTCCAGAAACAATTTATGGTGTCAAGGTTAGCCATCACTGGCATATGAGGTGCCTACTCTTAAATGGACTCCCTAACACTAACACTCTCAAGTCACAAGAACAAACTGATGTGTAGAATCTGTGTTGTGTATTGCCAAACAATGGCAAGGAGCCACCAAACAGATTAAAACTAAACTTTGGCTAATGGAAATCACAGCAATACTATGTAGGGCTGCCATCAGACGTTTTGGGGCTTCGTACACAGCTCAAGGTCTAGGCCCCTGTATTCTGGGCCAGCGCTACCTGTTAGGTGGACTAGGCAGCCGCCTAGGGCGCCCCTTGGAAAAGGGCGCCGCCAGGAGCGCCGGCCCCCCTCATGCTGCAGCCGCCCGAGCGCTCTGTAGAGTGCCTCAGGCGGCTGCAGCTTTGCCCGGGCTGGTGCAGCATGAGAAGAGGGGCTGACAGGAGGGAAGTGCTCAGCGCTCCCTCCTGTCACTCCCTCACTGTAGCGTGGCCGAGCTCTGTATGGTCCGCGGGAAAAGGGAGCATCTGTCTCCTGTACCCGGCCGGACTGAGTGTGCACTTCCTTTTAGTCCGGCCGGGTACAGGAAACAAAAGCTCCCTGTACCCGCGGACCATACAGAGCTCGGCCACGCTACAAACAAGGTAGGGAAGGGGGGAGGGGGGAGAGAAATAAATTGACTGGGGGAAAAGAAATTGACTGGGGAGAAAGAATAAATTGACTGGGGGGAGAGAAATAAATTGACTGGGGAGGGGGAGGAGAGAAAGAAATTGACTGGGGAGGAGGAGGGGAGAAGAGAGTGACAAGAGAGGGAGAGGGGGGAGAGATTGACATCCATCACACACACACACAATCACACAATGCACCCCTTACACACAAAGACAATGCACCCCTTGCACACAGAAAAACACAATGCATTACACACACACACACACACACAAGCAATGCAACCCTTACACACAATGCATTCCTTACACACACTCAATGCATCCCTGACACACACTCAATGCATCCCTTACAGACGCACACACTGCATCCCGTACATACACAGAAACACACCTTGCATCCCTTACACATAAAAACACAGATTCACACAATGCATTCCTTACACACATATCAGGACATCCCCTACACACTCCACCCCCTGTGAACAAACTCATTGGTGGAACATGAAGGTGGACCCTGGGACCCAGACCTTGAGCTGTGTAAAGGGCCCCAAAAAAATGGAGCTGCTTCCCGTTCTCCCAGAACATTGATTTTTGTGACCACAGTTACAAACTGCCTCCAGAGAGCCTGTTCTACACCAGACCAGTGGAGCCAGACTGCAGCTAGAGCCCATCATCATCCTCATCTGGTTGTAATTAGGCAATCTAGTATATTATTCGTGGCACTAATCTCTAATTTACCTCACATTAAAGAAACACTATAGTCCCCAGAACCACTGCAGCTTAATGTAGTGGTTCTGGTGTCTATAGCCTGTCCCTGCAGGCCTTTTAACGTAAACATGGCGGCACTGCAGCACTGGCGTTAGTTAACATGGCAGATCATATGGGTGGGGCATTGTGATGTCACATGGGGTGGGGGCGGCAAACTTTACTTTTGCCTAGGGCAGCAAAAATCCTTGCACCAGCCCTGCCTGTATTCCTAATACTATAATGTTCCTTTAACATGTTAACAGCTGTCAATAAACCTTTAAATCACACAGTAGTCACCAGAACTACAACTTAATGTAATTGTTCTAGTAAGTATAGTCAGTCCCTGCATGCTTTCTAATGTAAGCATTGTCTTTTTAGAGAAATGGTAGTGTTTATATTACTGCCTAGTAACATCTCTGACATCTCTATTGAGTCAATGCATCTCTATGAGGAGATGCTGATTACCACAGAGTAGTGTTTTGCTGCACATGCACAATAACCTCCCAAAGCTTTCCTTAGAAAAGCATTAGATTGGCTGAGATCATCAAGATCATCAAGATGGACCAGAATCAAGCAATGTCGGCTTCTCCGAACCAGAGACTAGTTTCCATAGTCTCCCACAACAAACCAGGGCCATCGTAGTCTCCCCCCTATTCACTTAGCCATTCTTCTAAGGGCTGGTTTCCCAGGTACGGCATCCGCAGCTCTAGCTGTTCCGCTTGGCGCTGGTTGGTGGCCAGGATTTCTTCACTTCGGAATGGTCGAATTTCTGTCAAAGTCCTCCTTCCAGAGATCAGTGAAAAGCGCCACCCTCCACTCTGTCTCTCTATCCTCTGGATAGGGTACTCCATACTGCGCAGCACATCCTGTAGTCGCTGCTGGAGTCTGGCGTCGAAGCCGGATACTGCCCAGCAGTACTTGTTTTCCATACTGCAGTAGTTCTGGTTTTCCCAAAGGCTAGGAAGCCATCCCACCGCTTGCCACCAATTGTAGCGGAGCTCCATGTACCCAGATTGGGTACCTCCGCCAAAGACCGCTTCCTAGCTGGAAGAGGGGACAAACCGCTGCACTTCTGCCCACAGTCACTGTGGCTTGACTGGGGCTCTGGAACTGCTCTTTCCTGGAGCCGAATGGGGAATTAGCTCTAGACATCCCCAGGCACTGGATGTCACTCAGTCCTGGGAGCTCTAGTCCTTACAAGGACTCTCCCCATTGAATCCCCTGCAAGCTGGAACAGCAAACACAGGAGTAAATCTTCTTTCCCTCCAATAACAGGACGACACACAGTTTTGGAGTGTAAGCTGGAATAGGATTTTAATGGAGGCACACTGGCCTTTATGCAAGTTTCCCAACAAGGGTGACACCCAGGTAGACCTTGTTGGACACAGGGACGCAAAGTGAACAAACCAATAAAAACAGAGTCATACATGCGAACAAAGGCAGCGGGACCTGGTCGTCGAGTGCATGGAACTGTTTTGCGGACACTCGACTTCCCGAACACCGGTCCCAAACAGACAAACGCTGGAACTCTATTTACCGAATAGCTAGAAGAGCGCTATTCGGTACTTTGGTGCATTCGACAGAGGGGCACGAACGCTGCTAGGAGCCAGAGGGATCCATTCAGTATTTTTCTTCGTTTTTATGTTTTTCGAACGTGACCGGCAAAACCCACCAAATTCGTGGAACTGTTTTGGGCATGCAGCCCAGGGTGAGCCGGTCACACAAGACTTCCATGAAATTTGGGAACCCCTGAACCGATCTGGGTGAAATTCGAATATGTTGGTCACCCAGATCAGGGCTATCAGGGGACACATAATTTATGGGGATACCCCCAGTATAAAGGGGTGTTCTGAAAGTTGGGAAAAAAGTGATTTTTCAGCCCGGAGATAATTAAGTTACTATTTTATCAGACTAAATTATCTCCTGGGCTAGGGGAGGGAATTGTAGGTGTGTGTTAACATTTTACTGTTTGTGATTGGTTATTGTTTGTCCCTCCCTGAGGGCTGTCCCCTTGTATGGGGACTTGCATAAAAGCTGTGTGCACCCATTAAAGCTCAGTTCATTTTGTACCCTTCTTCTTGACTTCGGCTGCTGTTTGGAGATTTGTGTGTTTCACTAAGGGAATTATCTTGTGAAGCTATTGTAATTACTATAGGATTCGTCTACCCTATCTACCGAACGGAGGGCTATAATCACTAAGGCTCTGGCGGTTCGGGAGGAAACTACCGAATGAGGTTGGAATATACTTGGTTTCCTTACAGTATGAAAGTAGGATATGGCTTTTATCCCGTACTTTCATATTTTATTTTTTTGCCTTCAACCCCCTAATTAGGTGTCTGAATCCTAAAGTGGCTAGTAGCATTCAACCACCATTGTATTTTATTTATTTATTTATTAGGGATAACCTGCAAAATTAGGATGATTTGTTCAGTTTATGTATGTATATGTTTGTTGTTTTTGGGTTTGTTTTGGTTTTTGGTTACATTAGATTTTGTTTTTGTGTTATTTTTTTTGTTGTTGTTGCTACAAGCTTCATAAATATGTATGCAATAGAGATTAAAACTAAACTACAGGACTGCTGTTGCTCCAACATTTTAAGCACAAAGCTTAGAGATAAATATGGATTTAGAAATTAGGGCAAATAGCGTTACATTATATTAAAGAACCACTATAGTGCCAGGAAAACATACTCGTTTTCTTGGCACTATAATATTAATAGGTCCCCCCACCGTCACGGCCCCCCTCCCGCCGGGCTGCAGTGTGAGGAAGGGGTAAATCACTTACCTTTCTCCAGTGCCGGGCTCCCTCAGTGCTGGGGAATCTCCTCCTTCTTTTGCAGTCATCTGCTGAATGCGCGTGCGCGGTAAGAGCTGCGCACGCATTGTCAGTCCATAGGAAAGCATCTACTCACTATGAAAATCACAGTGAGAAGCGCGGATGCGCCTCTAGCGGCTGTCAATGAGACAGCCACTAGAGGCTGGATTAACCCTAATGTAAACATAGCAGTTTCTCTGACGTTGCTATGTTTACAGCAGGCAGGGTTAACCCTTGATGGACCTAGCACCCAGACCACTTCATTAAGCTGAAGTGGTCTGGGTGCCTATAGTGGTCCTTTAATTTTAATGGCTCATCACTTCAACATTTAATGTGAATGGCCTCAATACTCCCCAGAACGGGAGACTGCTGTTCCAGCAATTGCGCAAATCTCAGGTGGTGGTTGCGTGCCTGCAGAAAACACACTTTAGCGCTGAGAGACCCCCTGCTCTCACCTAGCCTAGATATCCGATTGCTTTTTATACATATGCTCAGAACAAAACAAAGGGAGTGAGTACATTATTCCATGCAGTTTGGCCATTTAAATGCGACAGGGAATATAAAGATAAGGAAGGTAAGGAGGTTTAAAAGAAACTGGAAAATCTGGAATTACAGGTAATGGCGGAACGCAACCTGAGAAAATCGAAATTTAAATATTATACACAGGGTTATAAAGAGAGCAAATTATTTGCGTCCCAACTTAAACAGAAATTAACTCAAACAAAATTACCCTATTTGATAAATTCAGAAGGGGCTAAAGTGATAGACCCAACCCAAATTGTTAACGAATTAGCCTCATATTATGAACATGTTATATAATTTAAGCACCAGGCTCAGATGGGTTTTCCAATTATTATTTTTAATTTGTAAAGGAATTGATTCCAAAACTCTTTAACAGCATTCTAGATTCAGGTGAGGTGCACCCGGAAACGTTGGTATATATATATATATATATATAAATAATACAAAATATACATGTCCATATACAAAATTACATAAATTATTCTATAAATATACACGTAGACTTCAAAAATATATATATATGCATATACATTTAAATTCTACGTGCGTATTTATGTAATATTTTTACATAATTAAGTAATTTTATTGATTGCAATTTGAGGGACCTGCCTGACAACCCAGGCCGAAAGTCCAGAGAATTTAATTTGCTAGCAATGTATTTTACCCTGTAACTTTCTATGACACCCTAAGACCTGTACGTGGGGGTACTGTTTTACTCGGGAGACTTCGCTGAACACAAATATTAGTGATTCAAAACAGTAAAACATATCACAGCGATGATATTGTCAGTGAAATTTTTCACACACAAACAGCAATTTACTGATAATATAATTGTTGTGATACGTTTTACTGTTTTGAAACACTAATATTTGTGATCAGCAAAGTCTCCCGAGTATAACAGTACACCCATGTACAGGTTTTATAGCCTTTGTGAAAGTTACATGGTCAAATATAACGGTCAAATATTTTTACATTGAAAATTGCCAGGTTGGTTACTTTGCTTTTGAGAGTGTATGGTAGCCCAGGAATGAGAATTACCCCCATGATGGCATACTATTTGCAAAAGAAGACAACCTAATGTATTGTAAATGGGGCATGTCCAGTCTTTTTTTAGTAGCCACTAGTAGTCACAAACACTGGCCAAAATTAGCGTTCAATTTAGTTTTTTAACTTTTTTTCACACACAAACAAATATGAATGCTAACTTTGGCCAGTGGTTGTGACCAAGTGGCTAATAAAAAAGACTGGACATACCCCATATTGAATACTCTGGGTTGTCTGCTTTAAAAAAATATGTACATGTGGGGTGTGATTCAGAGATTTATGACAGATAATAGTGTTACAATGTCACTATTGATACATTTTAAAAATAAATATTTTGAAACAGCAATTTCCTATATGTACTTATAGCCCTTTAACTTGCAAAAAAGCATGTAAACACTGGGTGTTTTTAAACTCAGGACAAAATTTTTAATCTATTTAGCAGTTTTTTTCATTAGCTTTCGTAGGTAAGTAAAAGATTTTTCAAGCAAAAGTCAAAAAACATGTTTGTTCTTTTTCAATTTTTCACCATATTTTATTTTATTTTTAAAAGTAAATTATATGACATGATACAAATAATGGTATGTAAAGAAAGCCCTTTTTGTCCTGAAAAAAAACCAATATATAACTTGTATGTGAACAGTAAATGAGCGAGAGGAAAATTACAGCTAAACACAAACACCACAAAAGTGTTAAAAGAGCCCTGGTCCTTAACATACAACATCGCAAAAACAGGCCGGACCTGAAGGGGTTAATCGAAGATCCATATCACTGCTTAATGCAGATATAAAATTGTTTGAAAAAGCTATGGCACTCAGATTGAAACCACTATTTGATAGGGGCAGAATAAGTAGGTTTTCTGCCAGATAGACAGGTGGGGGACAATTCCTGTAGATTTATAGATATATTGGAAATAATGAAAAGACAAAAAACTGAGGTACTATTGATGGCACTTGACGCGGAAAAAGCGTTTGATAGTCTACATTGGCAATATATGGGGAAGGTGCTGGATATATTCCAACTCCCAAATAAATTTTAAGTATTCTTTCCCTATATACAAGCCTAACAGCCAGAGTTATAAACTCAGGATTTTTGTCAAGAACGGTCTGCCTCTCTTACGATACGAGACAGAGTTGCCCCCTCTCTATTCATTTTTATCATGACCCTTGACCCCTTAGCATATAAGATAAATAAGCGAGACACTTATATGGGACACCAAAAAGTGGTTTTATTTGCAGATGATGTCTTGATAATACTAACAAATCCATATAAGGTAATATTGCCACTGATGGATTTACTGAAGGAATATGGCACAGTGTCATATTATAAAAACAATATTGTCAAAACCCAAGCTTTACCTATAAATATGCAACAGTCAACTGTTCGGAGGCTGGAAGCTGAATACTCTTTTGAGGGGAGAAAGAATTCCATAAAATATCTGTGGATCCAGCTTTCAGCTTCAAAGCAGGTTATGATTAAAAATAACCATAGCAAACACTACTACCAGATGTACAAGATGCATTAAAGCGCTGGAATAAGGGCACTACCTCATGGGTTGAATGGATTAAATGTGCATATCTTATTTTTGAACTATACCAATAATGATCCCTAAATCAATTTATAACAAATTTTCAGACAACTATAAATGCACATATATGGAAACTTAAACCCCCAAGGATATCACTGAACACAATGACCTGTAAAACCGAGGGTGGGTTGGGAGTACCGCATATCCAGAAATATTATACAGCATCTATACTGGCACAAACAGCGGCACTAATAGACAAGACTACCATACCATTATGGCATACATTTAGAACAATCCATTGTCCCACACAATGAGATATTGGACATTATCTAGATAACGCATCGTGCTCATCATGACAAACTTAAAGGGAAACTATAGTCACCAGAACAACTACAGCTTATTGAATTTGTTCTGGTGAGTAGAATCATTACCTTCAGGCTTTTTGCTGTAAACACTGTATTTTCAGAGAAAATTAAATGTTTACATTACAGCCTAGTGATAACTTCACTGGCCACTCCTCAGATAGCTGTTAGAGATCCTTCCTGGGTCATGGCTGCCTAAAATGCATCCAAATATTCAGTATCTCCTCCTTCTGCATGCAGACACTGAACTTTCCTCATAAAGATTCATTGATTCAATTCATCTCTATGAGGAGATGCTGATTGGCCAGGGGTGTGTTTGAATCATGCTGGCTCTACCCCTGATCTGCCTCCTTGTCAGTTTCAGCCAATCCTATGGGGAAGCACTGTGATTGGATCAGGCCACCACTTCTGCTGATGTTAGTAGACAGCTTGTTTTTCTGAGGCAAACAGCATGCAGAGCTACAGCTTCAGGCTTAAATACAGTAAGATTTTGCTATATTTATGAAGGCATGAGTGGCCCAGGGGGGCTAGATGGTAGTTTTAACACTATAGGGTCAGGAATATATGGTTTGTGTTCCTGACCCTATAGTGATCCTTTCATTTTCTATCCACCACACACATTTCTTTGCAAATGTGGAGGAATTGGCCCCCTAAACTTCTGGGAAAAGGCAATTATTCTTACTATGCAACCTTGCAAAGTTTAATTTATTACACAAAATATGTAAATATATCAACATGGAGAAACAAAGGGATAACAAAAGTGCAACATTTAATAATACGTACAGATATTTATCAATTCCCAGATATACAAACTAAATACGATCTTCATAATAGGGAGTTGTATACATACTTTAGGGTGAAACACATCTTAATGAAACTTCAAGTGGTAGAGGTGGAAAGCTCCAAGGTGAATGAATTTGGGAAGTTATGTTTAGGGGGACGATCCCCAGCTAGGCCTCTTTCAATATGCTTTAGAGGAATATTAAACGTGGCAAAACCCATTAAAATGCCTTTTATGATACAATGGGAGAAGGAATTAAATAATGAATGGTATAGGGCTACGAGACTGATTAAGGTTGCCACATACAACACACAGAAGCAACGCATAAAATGTGGCTATGATGGTACATGACACCCCAAAAACTGGCACGAATATACACTGGGAATATAGGGACTTGTTGGAGGTGTGGGGAAGTGGAAGGATCTATGGCCCATATATTCTGGTATTGTAAAATGATTACTGTCTATGGAAACATATCCAACAACTGATATTTAATGTCACAAATATATTGATGCCCCTTCAACCAGAAATGTACTTGCTACATATTATGCCAGAGAGGATACTTGTGCAGGAAACTGCGATGATAATACATATTTTAATGGCCACAAAAAATGCTATAGCTAGCTTATGGAAAACCACACAAGAGCCATCATTACGCATAATAAGGGAAAATATTTCTAATACTAAAACCTGCGAGGAGATGGCAAACAAGATATCAACAAGATATAGATGTGTCATTCATATTTTTATTTGTATCTTTGCATTTTTTTTCCTACCATTTTGGACTTCTTATTCACTATTTTTTTTCTAGCCTTTCATGGACTTATATCATATTATCCCATTATAGTTATTGTGGACTTATTACTTTATATTTTTTTTATGCCATTTCTGGATTTACCTTTTTATGATATTATCTGAGTTGGGTTTTATATTCCTATACTATGAGTATTACTATCAATATTAATTATTGGTTATCTGTAAGTTTACTGTAGCTCCTGGTATCTTCATTCTAAGTAAGTGATATTTGTGATTTTAGAGGACTGGTGACCCTCTTTCCCGTTTTCAAGCTACTTTCTCTCAGGGTTTTTGTTTTTTTTAAAATCTACTCCTACTCCCTTTACGATTTAACCTGACAATTCAGTACTGTGTTTCTGTAAGACATTCTTGCATGTACTTTTTTACTATATTGTTGCGATTTTGTTTTCACCTCTACTATGTGATCAATTCACGTATGCACTACACAAATCACATGACAATTAATTATGCTTGCTGGGCATGACAGTAAGTATCATGAGCATGTCAAGATTTGCCTTGCAATTATATTTGTCTGTGCATGCCTAGGCATGGGAGGGGGGGGATTTGTGCAAGCAGATTGTGCTAGGAGGAGTGGCAGCCAAACAAATTGCAAGGCCTTCAGATTATAGCTGAGCATGGTGTAGTAACCATATTGTGTTTTCTTTGTACCTTTCCTGTTCAATCCAGAAGAGCCCAGACGGTAAATATCAGTGTAACATTTAAAATATCTATGGACTGCATATATAAGTAGTAGCAATGTTTTTGTATTTGGGTTTCTTATTAAAACCACATCCACCACATTTTTTAATAGTAAAAAGGTGACCAAACGTCTACATTTTGCTAAAGATGAAATTAAATCACAGCTTGCATTCTTTTGCAGGATGCAAATAAGCAAATTCCTACTGGGTCAGATATCTGCCAAATTGTGTACATTCCATGGGTAGCAAGAGTGCCCTGTTTCCAGCCATGACCAATGCAGCAGACTCTCAGCAACAGGCGGTACTGGAAGAACTGAAGATGCCCTTCTCTCGTGCAATGATTGGAAACTTTTTCCAGGAAAGGCCAAAATTGGGGAACCAGTTTCTTGAGGATGCCATGCTCCAAAGCTATCTGAAAAGGCATCTTCCTCCAGTGGTAGGCACTGCCAACATTTTTTTTAAATAACACACATTAATTACATATTCTGTGTGCATACCACAACACTTCAAATGGACAATAAAAGGGAACTTTTTTTTAAAAGGCTAGTTGAGAACATTGTATGTGATTTCCTCACCTATTGATACACATTTATGCAAAATTAATAAGTAATTTAAAAGAAGACCAAATTGTATTATATAAACTAATTTCTAAACACCGTACACAGTGTAAATCGTTAAAAAAAATTCAGGCTTGGGTTATTTATTACAAATGTACAAACATTTGATACAATATAGCAAATCAAGTGAAAGATACATGGAAACTGTATGAATAAGTTATTATTATTATTATGATATTTATATAGAGCCATCAAATTCCGCAGCGCTTTACAATGGGTGGACAAACAGAAATGTGACAGGTTGGACACACAGGAACAGAGAGGTTGAGGGCCCTGCTTAATGAGCTTACATGCTAAAGGGAGTGGGGTAAAATGACACAAAAAGGTAAGGATAGTATTAGATTAGTGACAGTTGCAGAAGAGGAATCAGTCAGGAGCTATTAACAGTTTAATTGATACGCTTTTATGAAGAAGTGGGTTTTTAATGATTTTTTTGAAGGAATGGAGACTGGGTGAGCATCTAACGGAGGAGGGAAGCGAGTTCCACAGGAACGGTGCAGCCCTCGAGAAATCTTGAAGGCGAGCATCAGAGGTGGGAGTACGGACAGAAGATAGACGTAAGTCTTCAGCAGATCGTAAGGGCCTAGACGGGACATACTTGTGTATAAGGGAGGATAGATAGGTGGGAGCAGCATTATGTAGAGATTTGAAAGCAAGAACCAGAATTTTAAATTGAGCTCTATATTTTATCGGCAGCCAATGTAGGGACTGACAGAAGGGTGAGGCATGGGAGGTGCGGATGGACAGGAAGATGAGCCTCGCCGCCGCATTCATTATGGACTGTAACGGCGCAAGTTGGGAGCACGTAAGACCACTGAGAAGCGGATTACAGTAGTCAAGGCGAGAAAGGACAGTGGAATGGACCAACACCATAGTCGTATCTAGCGTTAAGTAGGGGCGGATGCCCGCAATGTTTTTGAGATGGAAATGACAGGATTTGGCAATAGATTGAACATGAGGCTTGAAGGAGAGGTCGGAGTCAAAGAGAACATCTAGGCTTGCGTGGTGGAGCTGATGGTAGCACCGTTGACTTGGAGGGAGACAGATACAGGAGTAACAACACTTGAGGGAGGAAAGACCAGAATTTCAGTTTTGGTCAAGTTTAGTTTAAGGAAGTGGGTAGCCATCCAGTTAGAAATAGCAGAGAGGCAGTCAGATACACTAGTCAAGAGGGACGGGGAGAGATCAGGAGAGGACAGGTAGATTTGCGTGTCATCTGCATAGAAATGATATTGGAAGCCAAAGGAGCTAATGAGTTTACCAAGGGAGGCAGTATAGATGGAGAATAGTAGGGGACCAAGGACTGAACCTTGGGGGACACCAACAGAGAGGAGTTGGGGAGAAGAAGCAGAGCCAGAGAAAGAAACACTGAAAGAGCGCTGGGAGAGGTAGGAGGAGCACCAGGAGAGAGCAATATCTTGTAGACCGATATTGCGGAGGATAAGAAGAAGCTGTTGATGATCAACAGTGTCTAAAGCCGCATACAGGTCAAGGAGAATTAGGATAGAGTAGTGACCACAAGATTTTGCAGCGAGTAGATCATTGGATACTTTGGTCAGTGCAGTTTCCACAGAGTGCTTAGCGTGGAAACCAGACTGAAGCGGGTCTAGCAGAGAGTTGGACTCGAGGAAGTCTGTCAATCTCGCATACACAATTCTTTCAAGGATCCTGGATGCAAAAGGCAGTAGCGAGAGGACGATAGTTGGATGGGGAGTTAGGGTCAAGATTGGACTAATTTAGAATTGGGGTTACAGTTGCATGTTTGAAGGAGCGATGTAAATATACCAGAGGAGAGAGAGAGATTGAGAATTTTAGTGAGAGGTGGAGAAAGAGAAGAAGCCAGAGTGCGGATGAGATGCAAGGGAATTGGATCTAGGGAGCAGGTGGTGGGGCGGGAGGACTGGAGCAGAGCAGAAACGTCAAGTGGCAGAGGTGCGAATGAACATAGAACAGCAGAGGGAGTGAAGTTAGGGGAAGTATTGTAAGAGGAAGAAGAAAGATGAGAGATCTCTTCTCTGATTGTAGAGATCTTGTCAGTGAAGTGAGTTGCAAAGTGTGAGGCGGTCAAGTTAGTAGGTGGAGGAGGAACAGCAGGGCGAAGAAGAGAGTTAAATGTGTGAAATAGTCGTTTGGGTTCGCGGGAGAGTGTGGTTATGAAGGTATTGAAGTAATTAACTTTTGCAGAGGAAAGAGCCAAGCTGTATGAGCTCAGCATAAATTTATAGTGGAGAAAGTCAGATGCACAGTGAGACTTTCTCCAACAGCATTCAGCAGATCAGTTCAGTATTATAGAGTAAAATGCCCCAAAATTAAAGAAATAATAAAATCAAGCCCATTGAGAAGGACAAGAATAGGGCAGGCTAAAAACATTTTATATATCCTGTTAACTTACAATTATATTGTTTTTTGTGAGGGGTGGGTTTGACTTCCTGGCGCCTAAAATAATGCACATAGTGTATAGCATGAGCTGCTACAGCACTAGTGTTCAAACAGCACATGTATAGAATATAACTGAGTGACAATATGACACTCGGCCAACACCAGGGTTTTATTTGAGCTCTCAACAATGATTCTTACCCCTCCACAATTTGGTCAATGTTAAGTATTCCAAATAAGATATCCAAATAATATATAGTAAAAAAATTAAATATAGTGTGACTCTGTGGATATGTGAATAGTGAGGGGGAATTAAAATTGGCACACTCACAGGGATAGAGTAGTAGTAGTAGTATTTATATATCGTCAACTAATTCCACAGCACTTTACAATATTATGAACGGGGAAATGGATAGGCTCAAATAACAATGTCTTAAGATGACATTCTATCTCTTCATTTCTCAGAAGTTAATATCTCAGTAAAAAGAAACCGAATACAACCAATGGTGTGTTATCATAAACAAGGGAGTCAATATGCACAAATACAAATGTGCGGCTCACCTTGTTTAGAGCTCAAAAGACCAGGCTCTAGGTATAGTCAGCAGATATGACCGTAAGGAGGCACCGCCTCATTGTGTAGTTGGACCAGGCTGAAAGGAGGATCCATTGACCTCAACATTTAATGTAAATCTATTGATAACTAAAAGAACTACAACGATGTATTAATCCAAATGACCATTAAAAAGTGAAAAGTCTGCTGGAACTCCGCTCTGAAATGCATGTCATAATCCAGCAGTTTTTTCAATTTTAGATCCCCTGCACTCATGCAATCAACTGCATAGATTATCTATCTATAATTATCCAATATGTATAGCCAAGTGTTAGATTGAAGCAGGTTTCCAGTATAAGGCAGATGGCATCTAAGAGATGTATGCGCCTACATCCAAGCTATCAAACACCAACACAACCTGCAATCTAACACAGATATTATACCCAAACACACCTCTGCATTCAAACTCCAAAATTATATACATGCACACAAATGTACATCTGCATTTCAAATCCAACATTACATTTAAACACACCAGTGAAATCAAACACAAACAATACATACAAACACCCCTTAATTCAAACACCAACACTACACACAAAAGCACACCTGCATTTAAAAGCCAACACTACATACAAACACAACCTTGCATTCAAATGCAAACCCTACACACATGTACACCTCTGCATTCCAAAGGCAACAGTACATGCAAATACACCCTTACATGCACACATATATTGTCTATACAAATACATGCTTGCATTTAAACGCATAAAAACAACCCTGCAAGGATGGGCAAATGGTAGATTCTCACCTGGCTTTTGCTAGGTGAGAATTTCTAGGAATGCCTGACCGGTTTCAGTTTCTGTTATATCTGTACAGGGATGAATGGAGGACGCAGTAGCAGAGAGAGCTTTTTTTTTATTTATTTAAAATCTTTCCTGAAACCAACAGATTTCTACAGAGATAGATATAGAGATAGAGATATATAGATTTTTTTTATTTTTTATAAATGTGACCATGAAGCATTGCTTTCAGATTTCAAAACATTAACCTTCAAATGTACTAAATTAAATGCATTCGTGGAGCATCCAGACTAGTGCAATCTGCACAATCAGCAGCAACTCTAATACTTGATGAAGCTTTACTTCCTTACTGAATATTGTGTAGTTTGCAGTTTAGTATTTTCCTCATTAATTGCCAAAAGTTTATTTAAACATTGGGCAATGAAAGGTAGAAAATAATGGCGACTACCTTAGAATCTGTACCTTTTCTAACTGTGCATCAATAATGTGGCATGGCAACTGGGTTAATGTAATATACATCAAATATATTGCACCCTGAACAGATCATTCACATATAACCTGTGTTCCCTATTAAGGGTTAATAAGTATATAGGTTAAATAAAAATACCCCTCTGTCTCATTAGACTTTTTTTTTTCCTGAGGCAAGAAAGGTGAATTGTTAGTGTAAAAAAAGAGGTTTGCCTTGACATGGCAGGTGGGCTTGCATTTAATGGCCATTGGAGTTACTAAATAACCTCCATTTGTTTAAAGGGACACTATAGTCACCAGAACAACTACAGCTTATTGAACTTGTTCTGGTGAGTAGAATCATTACCTTCAGGATTTTAGCTGTAAACACTGTCTTTTCAGAGAAAATGCAGTGTTTACGTTACAGCCTAGTGATAACTTCACTGGCCACTCCTCAGATGTTAGAGATCCTTCCTGGGCCATGGCTGCCTAAAATGCATCCATTTTTTTGAGGCAAACAGCATCTACAGCTTCAGGCTTGAATACAGTAAGATGTTGCTATATTTATGGAGGCATGAGGGGCCCAGGGGGCTAGATGGTGGTTTTAACACTATAGGGTCAGGAATAAATGTTTGTGTTCCTGACCCTATAGTGATCCTTTAATTATGCGTAGGGATTTGTAATAGTGTGCAAGTAACTTTTTTCTTTTTCTCTTTGGATTTTATTGTAAGTGTGCTATGGTCGTTGCTGCCGCCTATGAGTAGTGAAAGTTTGAGCACAGGACTTATTTTTGTGTATACATATAACCTGTGGCGTTCCCTTTGCAGGTGTTGGAGGAAGTAAGTCAAGATCTTGATCGTTTTAGCCAACGTTTAGTGGAGGAAATTGATGCATTGGGACGAGAATGTGAACTGAATCCCCCAAAGTTGCAGCAGTATGATGCTTGGGGTCGAAGGGTGGATGATATTGTTACTTGTTCGGCCTGGAAAAGAATGAAAAATATTTCAGCAGAAGAAGGCCTTATAGCTGAAGCCTATGAAAGGAAATACTCCAGCTGGAGGTAACTATACCAGGATGTATGCCAATATCTTCAGTGTTATAGGCAATGGTAGATTAGGTACAAGATGCAACTTTATCCTACAACTGTTTGCCATAATGTCCCTGTAAGTATCAATGTGTCTTATATCTTATTATATATATTATTCTAGCTAAAAGCGTATATATAATAACAAAGGAACTATAAAAGAAAAAAAACTGACATGCCTCCTTTTTAAATATTTTTGGATAAGCATTTCAAGTTATTTAATATTTGTGGATGAACGTCTAACTTCTAACATGATTTTTTGAAAATAAATCAATAAAAAAAAATATATGAAAATGTATATCTATATCAAAATATAAAATCAATAAAAAGTTTATCCAAAAATTATTAAAGGAGCACTATATTGCAGAAGAATATAAAAGTTTAGATAGGGTCCATAGTTGAGTTACCAAGCCGGTGCATGGTTTACATGATAATACTTATAGGAAAAGATCTTAATATGTATGGCCTGATTGGATGACCATGTAAGTGAATACAATAGAAAACCTATGATTTTATAATATGATTCTACAAATACAATTTTGTATATCGGAGCCACATAAATTGTAATGACCAAAGTACTATGGTGTGAAAGGGGAGTTAAAAAACTAAATGACATGCAGATAAATCAAAGGTTTACAATTGGAGATATGCCCTCAATATATATCATTGTGCTAATGAGGAAAGAGCGATTGATGAAAGCAATTCAGTTTCACAGCAATACTCGACATGATATGGCAGTGACATAATGTAGACCCAATAATCGCAAAATAGCAATTGCAGTGGCCCTTAGAAATGCAGGGAAAATAGTATAGAATAGTATAAAACGTTATTGCACATTTATGGGAGTCTTAAAATGATCAATGAACACAATTACATTTTAAAAAACACTTTCAAACAGGACAGAAATTGAATAACCTATAAAAAACAGAACTACGTTCAACCCGAGCCTCTCACCAATGTTTTTTAGCTGAATGTGACTTTATAAAATGACAGTTAATACAACTCCCATATGAATACCAATTTCTTCATGGTTAAAGGGACACTCTAGTCACTAAAACCACTTTACCTTAATGAAACTATTTTGGTGTATAGATCATGCTCCTGTCTCACTGCTCAATTCTCTGCCATTTAGAAGTTCAATAACTTTGTTTATGCAGCCCTAGCCACACCTCCCTGTATATGACTTGCACAGTTTTCCTAAACACTTCCTGGAAAGAGACACCTAATGTTTACTTTCTTTATTACAAATTCTGTTTAATTTAGAATCTATCTCCTGCTCTGTTAATAGTTTTTGCTAGACAATACAGGGGCTTCCTGTATGGAATTAAAGTTCAATCTACAGAGCAGGAAATAAAACATTTAAAAAACCATTTAAAGGAACACCTTAATATGGCAAAATCTTACTTCTAGCCTTAAGCTGTGGCTCAGAATAGTAATCTGTCTGCTGACATCATCAGAAGTGTTGTTCTGAGCCTATCACAATGCTTCCCCATAGGATTGGCTGAGACTGTCAAAGAGGCAGATCAGGGGCAGAGCCAGAATGATTCAAACACAGCCCTGGCCAATCAGCATCTGCTCATAGAGATGAATTGAATCAATGAATCTCTATGAGGAAAGTTCAGTGTCTGCATTTAGAGGGAGGAGATACTGAATGTTTGGATGCATTTTAGGCAGCCATGACCCAGGAAGCATCTCTAACAGCCATCTGAGGAGTGGCCAGTGAAGTTATCACTAGGCTGTAATGTAAACACTGCATTTTCTCTGAAAAGACAGTGTTTACAGCAAAAAGCCTGAAGGTAAAGATTCTGCTCACCAGAACAAATCCAATAAGCTGTAGTTGTTCTGATGACTATAGTGTCCCTTTAAAGTAAGTTAAATCTGATTTAAAATTAAGTAAGTAAGTTTTATCCCTCAAGCCATGAACCAGTTTAGTAGCCCTTCTCTGAACTCTCTCCAAAGTATCAATATCCTTCTGAAGATACGGTCTCCAGTACTGTGTACAATACTCCAAGTGAGGTCTCACCAGTGTTCTGTACAATGGCATGAGCACTTACCTCTTTCTACTGCTAATACCTCTCCCTAAACAACCAAGCATTCTGCTAGCATTTCCTGCTGCTCTATTACATTGTCTGCCTACCTTTAAGTTATCAGAAATAATCAACCCTAAATCCCTTTCCTCAGATGTTGAGGTTTGGACTCTATCAAATATTCTGACAGGAGGCGAGTATTTGCTTAAGTCTCTCTTTACTAGAACTCCACAGCAGCACAGAAAAAACAACCAATCAGAGAAAAGTTAAGTTCTATAAAACTCCCCTTCCAATACATCATTTCCTCTTTCAAGCTGCGACAAACAGAACAAAGGATAGACAAAATAATGGGGAAGAAACTAAGTCCTAGATACAATGAATACAACAATGTCCACCATCCGAGAAGAACTGCCAAACCAGATAATGTTAATGCACTGTAAACTGAAACGAGAGAAAAAAACAGAATCGAACAGATTGGGTAGCCAATGAAATGTACCCTGAACAAACATTCGGATACCCAATGTAGCAACCAAAATTTCCTTAATATGTAGATGTGATGGACCGCTGGCACTCCGACCGAGTACCTCCGCCAATCGATGCTCCTAGTGCTCGCTGAGGACTCCCAAGCACTCCAACCGACACCATCAGAACTGCAGACCCACTTCCAGCGATGCAGCTGTGCCGGGGTCTCGCCGTCTTCACCCACCCTGGACCCAAGGCCAGGATCTAGCTTCCAGTGGGTGAACCTCTCTTTCCCCAGAGAGCGTAGCAGGAAGAGAACAGCTCTTACAAGAGCTCAGTGATTATAGCAAGAGAGTATGACAAGCATTGCAATCCCTTGTAGCTGGTTCCCCCAATAAGAGAAAGGACTCAGATTGAGGGTGAAGAAGAACTCAAGCTTTTAATGAAACACTCTGCTTTAATGCCCATTCTACACACATAGTACCGCCCACAGGGTTTTGTAAAACAACCAATAAAATACGTACATTAAAGTAAAACACTCCCAGCAATTACACACAAATCCTCCCCTCTGTCTGTGATATAATTACTCAACACAATAGGTTAAAGTAATTATCACAGGCAGGAAAAATACACTTTTTACACATGTACTGCAACTTTAAAAATATACATTCAATCTTCATAAAAGTCACATATTAATACTCAGCACACTTTAATTACACACATATACAAAATTCAGCCAATTCCTTTCAGGGGTTAAAAAGTTAGCTGGAAGTCCTTTATGACCAACCGCAAGCACATTTTCATGCCCAAAACAGTTCCATAGATTTGGGCTGTGCGGTCGGTCTATTTCACACTGATAAAATTAGTAAGTCCCATCACCGAACGGGACTTAGTCTCTGCGGCTGCAAACTCAGTGTAGGAGAAGGTAAGGGTCAGCGGTGTTCGTTGAAATGTGCACACCGCTGACCGCGTGCGAATGAACAAAGATGGCTGACGCCACGTTATCGTTTGTGCGAACGGCGGCCGCGCAGCGGTCGGCAATTTGCCTACAGCAGGCTCCCAGCTTGGGAGGTAAATTGCCTGCACACTTCCACTTCTGGGTAGTCCGCCTGTGTGGTCATTGGTTCAGTAAACCCCATTTACTGAACCAAGTGGGAGAAAGCCAGGAACACAGTATATTAAAGGTTTGGGGACACCGTCTTAAAAGGGGGCATTGTCCCAAAAAGTCTCAATATGCCCACATAGAGTTCTTAAAGGGCCAGTAGCAGCACAATAAAAAAACATTATACCCAAATACTGTATTTAAAGGGCCAAACCTCCCAGGGACCATAATCACATGGCAAGAGCCTGGCAAGTAGTCCTCTCCAGGCACAAGTGGCAATGTTAATTTCGCTACAGTAGATATCCCAACCCTACTTATGAAAACAGACATAAGAACATGTGACAGGTAGCAGAGACAACAAGCAGAGTTGCATACGTACCTGACAAACCCAAACTATTAAAATTAAACAAGGGGGGGGGATAAGAATGGGTGGGAAATACTCGCCTCCTGTCACTAATAAAATTAAGATTATACACTAAAGCTAGGTACACTAAAGCTAGCATAATCTACAGTTTTAACATAACATGACAGGAGGCTTCATATTTGCTGTTTTAACGCTCAGCCAACAAATCCGATGATTGTTTTGCTGGTACCTATTCCGGGAGAAAACTAGAGCAATCCCAAATAGATCTTCCAATTGCGGGAAGTGACAGCAGATGGATCTATGAAGAAAACACACAATCCATCGTTAGATCCACTGTACGTGGAGTTGTGACCTGTTTCCTGGAGTACGGTCCAAGAACTGCCAAGACGATCTATTAACTATTTCCCTGCAGGTGAATCCTCCGAAGATCATATACGGATTTGGAACTGCGGGAGAAAAACTGTTGTGATGGAATTCCAGTAAAATAAAAGTTTAGTAGGCCAAGATTGCCACGTGGCATATGTAGGTACATGTGTTTGTAGTATCAGTTAGTTAGTTACACGTAGCTAAAATACTGTCATCAATATACTGAGTGAAATCACACTCCCTTCCCTTTGTTTCGGATGAGCCACGTGGTCAAACCGGATGAGCAAGTCTAGACTCTGTTCATTGATTGGTTAAGGGTATGTGTGGGTGTAGCTATTTATGGGAGGAGCTATAGTGCTATATAAGGAATAGATTATCTTATACATCTTTAAATTTCTTTCTAGATATAAAGAGATTGATGATAGCTATCAAATATTTGTATTGTGTATGCTATATATAGATTATATCTTTAACTTGTGTTTTTTCTTATTCTGTTATGATATTTTACAAATATGGAGGCTAAGGTTGCTATGGGGACTTAATCATAACAATCTACATCCTGAACGCCGCGTTTCAGCGTGCGTTCCAGCCGTCCGAAAAACCGGAAGTGACGTCACCCGCTAAACCGGAAGTGACGCGACGCCGGTACGAAATTGGATCCAGGTGAATGGGACAGATAGGACTTATAAAAGAAGACTCAATAGGACATGAAGACAAGCACTGGAGGAAGGCTGTTGGCCGAAACGCGTCTGCTTCAATCTTCTGCATTTGTATTTGTTATTTTATGTGTATTTCTGTCACTCTGGGCTACTATACAGATAGGGGTAAGTGGAATTCCATTGCTGTTTTATATATATCCTTGTCTGTTTTGGGTTCCACCCCCATAGTGCCCAGTAGTGTATACACTTTTTTATATATTTTTATAAATAAATATATTTTATATTTAACCTTTGGAGTCTCATCTATTTGGACCACCTGGATCGTTAGCCAGTTATTGGCACCCCTGAGCCTGTTATACAGAGCCTGGTACGGCTCTGGAGAATGTGAGTGAGAGTCACACATTTATCTATTATTTATTTTTCATCATACAGTTTGCACTATGTTTTTTATGTTTTTTCTATTTTAGTTTATACCCCAATCAAGTTCTACGCTGTTTACATTACAGTCCAGTTCTATATTGGTAATATCACTTATTTTTGTTGTGATCACATTGGGGAGGTGTATATACTGGTATTTGTCTCTTTTTATTGTATTATGTAAATCTGGTGTATAAGGGAAGCACTAGGGTACCGGTTACACCATCTATTGTATATTTTTATTATATACAGAACTGTCACAATTACAGTGAAGCGCCTACGCACTATCCTTCTTTTTTTCTTTTTTTCTATATAAGGAATGTACTCCATGTGTTCGGGGCTCAGATCTGTTGTGGAACGTTAGTCCATCTGAGACCCGACCGGTACATGACTAAAGGCCTCTTACTTCCTGAATACCTGTGTCCATCTCTCTGTGTTTGGCTTCTGCACGCTTCCACGGTTACATCTCTGGCCGGGAAGCTCATCATCATGGTAGCTGAGACAGAGACGTGAGATGGTAGATCTTTACCAACGTTCTCCACGGCAGCACCCCTGGACTTCTGCGTGGATCTCCTTTCGTCTTGGCGCCACTGGCCTTTGGTCCAGGAGATCATTGGCTTCTGTGCAGTGAGTACCGGGGTGCCCCGTCGATGAGTGTGAAGCCCAGGTCCAGGAACGAAGAGGTAAGATTAATACCAGTAGAGCGGTAGGCCCACAAGGGGTTTGTATTTGGTTTGGTTGTATGGAATTTGCCCCTTCCCTCTGGAAGGAAGAAACGAAGGCGCACCGCTTATTGGAAATTAGACGCTCTGTAGTCAGCCCGTCTAATACAGGTGGTTTGGGTCAGACTGAATTTTGGTGTAAATAGTTCATGTCGGACACCGGTGTCCTGTCTTGACTAGCGTACCTAGGTGTAAATTTTGGTCGCTAGGTCGGGGGGACCGGGAGACTAAGCAGATTCTGGTGTACATTCCGTCTGCTAGACCTCAACCTATCTTGGCTAAGTGGAAGGCATGTAAATTCAACCACTAGACTATTGATAGAGTAAATAGACTAAATGAGTCCTGTTGTACATTCCGCTCATTAGTTCGCTATATGTGGTGCTTGGGCAGCGTAGACTAACCGAACCTTGGTGTAAATAGTTCGATAGTTCTCAAGGTGCTAGCCAATTAGAATAGTTGGGATTATTGTAAATATTGTTAGATATGCTGTAGTTGGTGAACTGGTGAATTGATTAAATTGTATGTCCTGCTAGAAAGCTTGAGCTCTGCTGTCTAGTGGGAGTGTAAATTGTGTGTATAACTGTATAATAGTATCATAACCACTAACATGTATTATAATTAATGACATTGTGTATTGTATATAACTACTAAAAACCTGTTGTTTTGTGTTATATGTGTAACACCATAACTGTTACTAATTGACCTGTGATTCTAAAACTGTACCATAACCACTTGCTAACCGTACCATAACTACTGATTGTAAAGACGATGCTACTGGAGTGTGTTATAGTCGGGTAACTGAAAGTTGATTTACTGCGTGGATGATTGCAGGGTTTGATTTATAGTTACAGAGATAAGTATCTAGTGTTTGGTGAATCTTTGTGTGTGAAGACGTCATGTTATCGCTGTGTGTGTGAGAATTCTCTGCGTGTTTTTGTGTGTGTTTGGCCTAGTAACTGTGCCACGTGGTGCTGTTGCCAGAGAAATGGTTGTGACTGCTGGGAGTGTGTTTGTCGTGTTTCTTTGAATTCGACGCTCCGTTGATCCCTTGTCATGTATGCTAAACAATTTCGCAAAGGGATACAATGTTTGTGATTTTGGGGTAAAATTATCTCCAAAGCGTCTGACTACATTGTGTAGCAGAGAATGGCCTCCACGTGGTAGTCTTGATCCAAATCTAGTGCAACGTGTACACGTGGCTGTATCTAGTAGGCCTGAATTTTACGATCAGTTTCCGTACATTGATTGTTGGAAACAGGTTGTGGAAGGATTGCCCAAATGGATTAATGTATGCCACTCATGGTGGCCAGGACTCGCCTCTCCATTAGGGCCGCAACTCCGCCCATTTTAGATATGCCCATTGAGTCTGAGCTTCCTCTACCACCCCCTTACTCCTCCTCCAAGGCTAGAGGAGGTGTTGCCACTCCCCCTACCCTAGTGTCTCCTTCCACTCATGCATCCAGCTCAGAGCCCAGCCCACTTGCCTTAAGCCTTCCCCTTCCGGTACCAACCTCCATTAGTTCTGCATATCCAGATCTGACATCATTTCTGGTTCCTGGTCAGGCTCCCCCAAGTCCGGCCCGGAATATCCTGTTAACTGACCTTTCGTTCAGTAAAAATCAGTTGTCCCCATCTCCTTGTCTCACTACCCCTAGACCGGAACTTAATATTAAACAACCTCACCGAAGCCCTGTATTAACCAACAGATGACTGGTACCATCCAACCCCGACATTACCAAATGCCTCTCCGACTTACACCGGGCCCAACAGACGTTGATGATAATGGTCAATTGCAACATGCAGACCCTGTATTTGTTTATGTTCCCTTCACTACGACTGACTTATTTAATTGGAAGATACATAACTCTTCATATACTGATAAGCCCCAAGTCATGACAGATTTGGTTACCTCGATCATACAAACCCACAATCCTACTTGGGCTGATTGCCAGCAATTACTATTGACTTTATTTAACAATGAGGAAAGGACTCGGATTAATCAAGCGGCTATTAAAGCACTTGAGGAAGCAGCCCGTGTTCAGAACCAGGCCAATCCGGCTGCATGGGCTGCAGCCCATTACCCAAATGTGGATCCGAACTGGAATATTAATAGAGCTGATATGCCCCATTTAAGAGCTTATAGGGAAGCCATTATTGCGGCATGAAGGCAGGAGGGAAAAAGGCAATCAATATATCAAAGACGGCTGAGGTGTTGCAGAAAGCTGACGAGTCACATAGTGCCTTTTATGAAAGATTACTAGAGGCATAAAAATTGTATACTCCTTTTAATCCAGAGGCTCCTGAGAATTCCCGAATGGTTAATTCAGCCTTTGTCAGCCAGGCCCAAGGTGATATTAAAAGGAAATTACAGAAGTTAGAGGGATTTGTAGGGATGTCTTTATCACAGTTGATGGAGATTGCGAATAAAGTATACATGAATAGAGAAACCGAGACAAAGAGGGAAGAAGAACGTAAAATGAGGAAGAAGGCAGATATGCTAGCGGTAGCTATTGCAAGTGTAGAAAGACAGGGAAGGGAGGTGAATAGAGGAGTTGAAAATAGGTTGAGTAGGGGACCACTAAGCAGAAATCAGTGTGCATACTGTAGGGAGGAAGGACACTGGAGGAATGAATGCCCGCAGAGAGAGCATTATGAAAATGACCGACAAGAAGAGAGAAGAGTGTGGGGAGGTTATGGGGGTAGCTATAGAGGCAGAGGAAGAGGAAGTTTTGGAGGAAATAGTGGGACTAATAGAGGAAGTGTTCAAAGGGACAGATATTATCCACCCACGCAGAGACCTAGAGAAAGAGAGGATATTGATTTTGTGGGTCTGGCTGACACTGTTATGGAGGACTATTGATACCGACCGGGCTCCATCCCCCTTGGCCGACCGGAGCCTATGGTCAATGTAGCAATAGGGGGAAAGAGAAGTCCTTTTACGATTGATACTGGGGGTGAACATTCCGTGGTGACCAAATTAGTTGCTCCTCCATCAGGAAAAACCATAACAGTAATAGGAGCAACTGGAAAGAGCGCTGCTAGACCGGTTCTTAAGAGTCGCACTTGCATTCTGGGATGCCATTTGGTGAAGCACCAATTTCTATATATGCCTGAGTGTCCAATCCAACTTCTAAGACGAGATTTATTATCAAAGCTTCAAGCCCAGATAACCTTTTTACCCAATGGATCGACATCCCTGAAGTTTAATGGATCATCGGGCATAATGGCGATATTGGTGCCAAGGGAAGAAGAATGGCACTTCTACACGATAATGACAAGTGTAAACCCTAAGAGTGATGAATCCCTATTTGACATTCCAGGAGTATGGGCAGAAAATAATCCACCAGGGCTTG